ACAGCAGCCCCAGGAGGAGTGTGTTTACTCGCAGGTACAAAGACGCTAGTTTCACAACAACAACTCGTGTACGATCGCACTTTACCTTGGAAACCAAGTGCTTTTTTCACTTATGTTTGACTTTGGGAGTTTTACGGGTTATATCAGTGTTTCTCAACCCTGGTCCTGGGCGCCCCCCAACACTGCACATTTTGTATGTCTCCCTTATTTGACACACCTATTTCAGGTCCTGGAGTTTCTTTTAATGAGCTAATGAGTTGAATCAGGTGTGTTTGATTAGGGAGACACACAAAATGTGCAGTGCTGTGGGGCGCCCAGGACCAGGGTTGAGAAACACTGGGTTATATAAAGCACATATCTCTTTGCATTTGTAAATGATTTTGTGTGACATGTGCTGTATGTTGATATGGACTGTAGAGCGAGAGCTTCAACGCACGTGTCTGGGCTGAACCATGAGTTGTTGAGTAAGCAAGAGAATGGAGAAAAGAGGAAACTAATTGCATGTTATTTTTCCTCAATCTACTGAGCTCTTCTGTTTTTAGCACTTCTCGATTTGCAGCTGTGACTTTATGATGGCAAGAAAAGCTTAAACGAGAGTCAGCTTGTAATCATGAATCTTGAGGAGGTGATCGAGTTGCTCAATAATCACGAAAACAGCAGTTTGGTGATTTTGAATCATTAAAACATTTCAAAGCAACTGAAGTTCAAAAGTCACAGAAAACCTGAGCTTGCTAGATTGAGTTATAGTAGTTTACTTTGTACTGACTTTTAGATGAGAGATATAGTAGTTTAAAGGAGACATATTATGCCCCTTTTTACAATATATAAGTCTCTGGTGTCCCCAGAATGTGTCTGTGAAGTTTCAGCTCAAAATACTCCACAGATCATTTATTATAACATAAATGCCTATTTTGAGTGGAAGCAGAAACAAGCTGTTTTTTGTGCCTGTCTCTTTAAATGCAAATGAGCTGCTGCTCCCCGCCCCCTTTTCCAGAATAGAGCTGCCCATTACAGCTCGGACCTGCTAAAAACATCTGTCATTGATCTTATTATCATGTTTATCGCGCTGAAATCATGCGTTTTAAACCATATGAGTTTAAACTTCTGATATACGGTTTTCTAAGAGCACACATCCGAAGCACACGCACAGAAAGCGGCTGTCACAGCATGTGAGTACTAAACTAAGTTCTCATTCACACACAAGTTTAGTTAAAAACACACATGAGTTACAAAAATAGTGGGTTATGTCTGTGAAGGTACTTTAAATGCTTAAAAATGTATTGCTGGCAAAAAACAAGTCATTAAAAGGATAGTGGCAAAGATTGGTAAAGAATTAAAATGACAAGTTATTCGTTTTTGAAGACTGAACTGTGATCCTTAAATAATTAAAAGTCATGTCTTGTCTTCTGTAAATCATGGTAAAAATGTACACACTCTCATGAGAAACTGATAAAGGAAATAAAGTCCTATCTGGATATTTAGAGGAAATTATTCACATGTTCTGAAGTTTGGTTCTGCATTGTTTCACACTCATCGAGATGTAACTTGTGTAAAATACTTCTGTTTGCTTCCTCAATAAAGATACTGAAGTGTGAAGCAATTAAGATAGTAATCTGTTTTTTTAACAGATGTGATGCTGCACTAATAGGATGAATATGTTCATAAACAGCAGAAAACTGAAGTGAGGATTTATTTTTAAAGCATGAGTCATACACGTGTAGTTATTTGTGGACTTGTGTCATGCACAATGACCAATTTACAGCTGTAAGAAGTTCTCCATTTATACTTAATATAACGCAGTCTTCCTTCTCTATTTTATCTTAGCTAATAATTAATAATTAGCTAGTTGCTAAAACATTTTTATTTTTATTTAAACTAATAACTAAATCTGAAAATTAATTTAAAAGAATTTAGACATTAAAAACTAATAAAAATGACAAAAATGCACAACAAAATTAAAATTAAAATGGACAATAAAACTGTATAATTATTAAATAAAAATGAATTCCAAATATTCAAACTAAAATAAAAAATGTTAAAAATAAAGTCATTTGCGTCAACACATCTTGATACATTCAAATAAATAGTCACTTATGTGAACGCATATTGCTAATTATTGCTTTTAATTCACTTAAGTTGATGTTTGTCCACATGTGACTACCCCGGGCTGGACTCCGCTTCGACCACGGTGAAAGCCGATCCGGTGATCCACAGCGTGAAGTTGTTGTATTTCCTCAGCAACCAGCACGGATCAGCTCCAGGCATGACGAAGCAGATATCATCCTCTTTTGGAAGGCCAAACAAAGTAGCTTTGCTTTCACAACGAAACACACAGCGCCTTCACGACATGGCGGCGGCAGCAACAATACTACAGCGAGAATAAAAGTTACGCCTTTTTTCTTTGCGTGAACATTTGGGCGGCGTTATGCAAATCTTCCCACATCGTGACGTAGGTATGTGGGGGCGTGTTAGAACGAGCCGTTTTAGGTAGGTGTGGCTGACTCTTAACTTTTATAAAGAATATCTCTTTGGATTTGAGACTTTAGTCTTTGCAACTTTACAGATCTTCTTTATGCACCAAGAGCTTGTAACACTCCAAAGAGAAAGGAAAACTTGAAATCGCATCATATGACCCCTTTAAAATATAATCTGCATGCACAATAAAGGTTTTAAGATTTGATTTTAGATCTGCATGCACATTGCATAATTAAGGTTTTAATAAAATGTTAATTAATAACAGTAATCATAATAAGCATACTTCCAGTACGTGCCTCAGGGTTACACAGTATCGTCAACCCCTCGGTAATCCTCAGCAAATTTCGACAGTTGGTTGAATCCTATTATGATAGCTGAAATCCAGTCAAATTTGCCATGAACCCCAGGTCAGACATGAAGCTGAGGCTGAAACAGGCTGCTGTTACTATGGAAACAGACTGACAGCTCTGTGCTGATGGAGACCTCGTGTGATGAACTTGAGTAATGACAGAGATCTCAGTCTCATCATTTCAGTACAAACTCAGCTTCTTTATCATGACAAAATGTTCTTACAAACTGCAGTAATCAGTGAGCTTTGTTAATACACTTTCAAACATGCAAGCTTTATAAATATCTTTATGAATTAGCTGTTTTCTCTCTCTAGGCTATATAGACTCACAGCACAGGTCATTTTGTCCCTCATATTTTTGTTTCAGGAATATAAAAATATATATACACTACAGGTGCATCTCAATAAATTAGAATGTCATGGAAAAGTTCATTTATTTCAGTAATTCAACTTGTGAAACTCGTGTATTAAATAAATTCAATGCACACAGACTGAAGTAGTTTAAGTCTTTGGTTCGTTCAATTGTGATGATTTTGGCTCAATTTTGGAGCACTTCATGTTTCCTTCTGCTGACCAGCTTTTTGAAGATGCTGATTTCATTTTCCAGCAGGATTTGGCACCTGCTCACACTGCCAAAAGCACCAAAAGTTGGTTAAATGACCATGGTGTTGGTGTGCTTGACTGGCCAGCAAACTCACCAGACCTGAACCCCATAGAGAATCTATGGGGTATTGTCAAGAGGAAAATGAGAAACAAGAGATCAAAAAATGCAGATGAGCTGAAGGCCGCTGTCAAAGAAACCTGGGCTTCCATACCACCTCAGTAGTGCCACAAACTGATCACCTCCATGCCACGCTGAATTGAGGCAGTAATTAAAGCAAAATGAGCCCCTACCAAGTATTGAGTACATGTACAGTAAATGAACATACTTTCCAGATTGCCAACAATTCACTAAAAATGTTTTTTTTATTGGTCTTATGGAGTATTCTAATTTGTTGAGATAGTGAGTTGGTGGGTTTTTGTTAAATGTGAGCCAAAATCATCACAATTAAAAGAACCAAAGACTTAAACTACTTGTCTGTGTGCATTGGATTTATTTAATACACGAGTTTCACAATTTGAGTTGAATTACTGAAATAAATGAACTTTTCCACGACATTCTAATTTATTTAGATGCACCTGTATGTCATGGCTTTCCATTGAGACGTTGCCGTTGAACAGGAGTGAGCAAATCTATTTAATGCTGTGTTCATAAACATGTAGGCTACACGTGAAGTTCAGACCTTATAGTCACAGCATATATCATCGTTGCACATTTTTATTTGCAGTGGATGCATGTTGAGTGTATATTATGAACTCTGCTGTTATAAAAGCAACCAGGGTGATAAAAAAACAGGGTTGCCAACTTTCTCGCGCTGTCTGGCACTTTTCTCACGCCACACGCTGTCAAAAGATGAAACCGTAATAATAGGAAATTGGTGAAATGGATTTGGTAAAGGTTCCAGTGCGCAATTGTGTTTGCAACCTGGAAAGCGTCAAAAGTTTGTATTTACAGCGTGTTTTTTAGCATTGAGCAATGAACCCTATCATACATCTATTGATTTCACTATTGTCTTGAACACCAGATTGCACAAGTTCGTCAGAAATCACTTGCTGCTAAATGCAAGATTTTTTTCTCCATTGATTATAATGAAACATTGTTGCATATTGCAATGGTTGGGACATTCTAAACGCTTAACGTGGCTTAATGCATTAAGACAGTGTTTTTAAAAGACCAAACTAAGTAAACACATTATTAATAAATAATGCTATGTGCCAAGCAAATGAGCCCAGAATAGCGTTAGAAGAAAACGCTTAAAGGGATAGTTCACCCCAAAATGAAAATTCTGTCATTAATTATTCACGCTTGTGTCGTTCCAAACCCGTAAGACCTTCGTTCATCTTCGGAACACAAGAAAAAACAAAAATAACTTTATTCAACAATTCTTCTCCCTTGCGTCACCGTCTGCCACCATTATCGAGTGTGTCACGACATCAGCATTAGTAAGTGTATTGTCAGCACTTGTTCTCTACCAATATGCTGCTTCCTCTATGAAAGACACTCAAGCGTCTTAAGTCAGGGCATCATGTGACCAGTCACATGACCAATCACACACAAACACAAGAGACACCGGAATCACTCACTGAACTTTTATTGCAAAACAGTGATGAACATTTTGATAGCTTGAAGTACAAAACATGTTATCGAAATAACCAAAACATTTACTGAAGTGCAGTCTTACCATTTTAGAGAAAAAGGCAAAAAATAGAAAATAAAAAGAGGGCAAAACCATCTACAAGTAGATCTTATCCACACTTCCCTGAATTATGTCTGTCTACTGAAAAAAATAAAATCTGAGAGCTTTACTGATGACGCTCTCAAAGGAGGGGAAAATGTTACCCGTCTATTTCCAGGTTCTCAGTCTGAATGGAAAAATAGGTGTAGAAATGTGAAGTAGAAAGTCTTGGTCCGAGTAAGCATCAGCTATTGACTGTGAAACCTGAGATGTGGAAATGTCTCTGTGCTGTCAGTGCTCTTCAGTCAGATCCCGACTCTTCCTCTGAGCTGGCGGGTGTAGAGGCGGCTTCTTCATCATCATCAGAAGCCTGTGACGGATAAAGCAGGTTAAATGATGCACATCTAAATAACTCCATTAAAGCTGAGAGGAAACGCGTCAGTCGCACACCTTGCGTTTGCTGCCTCTGTCGTGATCAGATTCAGACGAGCTCTCCTCGCTGGAGATGAACTCTTTACTCTTAAAGCTCTCGTTTCCACCTTCCTTTGTCTCCTTTTCTCCTCCACTCTTCTTCTTAGCTTCCACCTTCCCTCCTTTCTTCTTCTTTTCTCTGAAAGCACAAGCAATGACTGTGTCAACAAAAAGCAGGGCTGCATGTAACGTTCAAAAAAAAGAAAAAAAAAAGGATGCATTATATGGATCAAAAGTGACAATTGTTACAAAAGATTTCTATTTCAAATAAATGCTGTTCTTTTGAACTTGCTATTCATCAAAGAATCCTGAACAATAAAATATATCAGTTTCCACAAAAATATTGGGCAGCACAACTGTTTTTAACATTGATAATAATCAGAAATGTAATGAATAATTTTCTGCAATTAATTCAGTTTAGTCTGCTTATACATACAGACCCAGGTTCAGTTGTGGATGAGCTTTATATTTGTTAAAAAAAAGGAAGTAGAAAAGGAATGCATGTTTTAATGTGTCTTATGGCCATGTCACTGCCTGCAATATTTTCATACAGAATTGTAATTGGCTTTTACTAAAACCGAATCATTGGTTATGGATGGAAAGTCACTTTTCCCCGGTTTCACAGACAAGGCTTAAGCCTAGTCCCAGACTAAAATGTGAAAGAACTGATAGAAACTTGCACTGACTGATCTTAAAATATATCAGTGCCTTTGTTTTTTCTCAAAAAGCACACCAGTAATGTTTTTTTCTAAGACACGTTTATAAAAATGACTTAAATGTCCTAATTGAACTAATGGTCGACCGATATATCGGCCGATATTTGGCATTTTTCAAATATTGGCATTGGCCGATAAGTTTATCTGTTTGGCCGATGCGTTCGAGGCGGGAATTTTTTCTTGACGGCGCTGACAGCGGGCGC